TTGTTAGGGGACCCCTCTGCTGCCTTATCATTTCTCCCACCTAACACCTGTCATCCAGTCCCTGCATCTGGCAGAGGCTTAGGGACATATACAGTGTGGAGTTGTGTCCCTGAACATCTTGGCTAATAACCAGTGATGGACTTAGCTTCCATGAACTTTGAACCCAACTGCACTTCAGGCCTTCACAATATCGGTCAATGAGTTCCACAGGTTGACTGTGCATTCCTTATGCTTCTTTTAAACCCGCTGTCTCTTAATTTCATAGTTTGGTCCCTGGATCTTGTGCTCTATGAAAGGATAAACAACACTTCTGAATTCACTTCCCCCACATCTTTTATGATCTTATAGACCATTGTCATATCCCCCCAGTCAGCTCTTTTCCAAGCTGTTTGTTTAATGTAATTGCGCTGCCCAAGGGACTCAGACTGGCCACTAGGCTGCACCACTTTCACCACTGTCAGTCACCCTCAGATAGTCTCCACACACATCCCAGTGACTTCCCCTTCTCAGGACCTCAACAAACCCCATAATTTTATATGTACAGTTAAGATTGTTGCTCTGATACTCAATGTTGATAAATGCATAAAGTGATAGTTGAAAATCAGTTTTGAGAGAGACCTTTCAGGCCAAAGCTGACTGCAGTCTTGATTCATTTTGTGTCAGCTGCAAACTTTACCTCACTGTTCAGCATATTCATAAATGATCCTGAAAAAAAGGGATGAACAGCACTGGTACCAGAACAGATCCCCAGGGGACACTGCTGTTTGCCTCTTTCCATTCGGAAAGACAATAGTTTATTCCTACCCTTTGTTTCCTATCATTTAATCTGTTGGTTACTGATCCATGAGAGGCCCTTCCCTCTTATCCCATGACTCCTTTGTTTGTGTAAGAGCTTTGGTGAGTGTCAAAAGTGTTCTGAAATCCAAGTACGTTATATCCACTGGATTAACTTTCTCCACATGCTTTTTATCTAGGGTTGCCAAGTGTTCGGTTTTGAACAGGACAGTCTGGTATTTGAACTTTCTGTTGGGGAAACAAATTGAGAAAATATAAATGTCCAGTATTTTCTAAATAAGATGTAATGTAGATTGTGATGTAATGTCAAGTGTGTCCAGAATTTTTTGTTGAAACCATCTGGCAACCTTATTTTTACCTCCCTTCCTTCCTTAGAGAATTCTAATATAGAGATGAGGTATGGTTTCCCTTTACGTAAGCTCTGTTGGCTCTCGCCTAACATTGTGTGTGTGTGTGTGTGTGTGTGATAATTCTGGTCTTTACCACAGTTGCAACCTATTGGCCTGGTACTGAAGTTAGACTTACTGGCCTGTAATTCCCAGGATCACCTCTGGAGCCTTTGATAAATCAGGATAAGATAGTGTTCACCCAAGAATTCAGAAGGAACTCATATGAAATTGGAGAATAGTTACAGAAGCCGATTTAAGCAATAGGTTCTGTACCACAGGTAGTAATTCTTCAATCATCTAGAAATGTGACTCCAGTTTTTAATAATCTTCCAAAACCTCCTCCAATGATAGCTCAGTTTGGGATAATTCTTCAGATTTCTCAGGTACAATGAATGCCTCAGATGTGAGAATCTCCCTTACCTCTTCTACAGTGAAGACGAATGCAAAGAAGTCATCAGAATAGCCTTGTCTTCCTCCAGTACTCCTATTGTCCCCTGGTCCCAGTGTTTGTTTTGGCAGACTTACTGCATGTGATGTACTTTTTTTTTCCTGTTAGTTTTTGAGTCTTTTGCTCTTAACTCTTTTTTGACCTGCCTCATTCTACTTTGTAATGGCAGTGTCCGGTGAGCTCTTGTTTAAAAAAAAAAAAAAAAAAGGGATTAGAGGGGAGATTGTGGCATTTCTTGTCACTTTAGAACAAGCAGTGGGAACGTATCTCTAAAACTGGGGTTTTCATACTCTGGGTTGCGGCTTGTAAGAGGAAGCCACCAGCTTGCCACGAGGCACTTTGCTCCACTTCCCGCAGCTCCTATTGGCTGGGAATGGTGATCTGCAGCCAACAGGAGCTATGATCTCCCATAAGCAGAGACCAGAACATTGCTTTGCATAGCTCCCATTGGCTGCGAATGGCGAGCTGTGGCCAACAGGACCTGCGATTGACCATACCTGCAGAGGTGCAGGTACATAAAGCACCTCGCAGCCAGCTCAGGACTTGCCCTTACAAGCCGCAACATAGAGTTTGGCAGTTCAAACTGTCATCTAGCGTAGCTGATACCTTTTAGAGCAGGAGTTTTCAAAGGCTTGGACTAGCAGCACTTGACCCATTGCTTTTGAAAATCTTGTCTATTTTAGATGCTCAACGTGAGACACATAAAAAGGTGTGAGACTTTCTTCAGAGGGCTCCGAATGTCTTGAAAATCAGACCTCTCTTGAGCATCTCAGGTTACATACCAAAAATAGGTACAGAACTTAGCTATATTTTTAAAATCTTGTCCATTTCCTTTTTAAACACTTAGAAGCCTTCTGCAGTTGTCTTCAGGGAAGACTGAGTTAATTGTTTTCTCCCTTTAAAAGGAGGGGATCCCCCAATAGATCATTCTGTGGTTTTAATCAAGTGTTTCAGTTTGTGGGTGGGTCATTTCTGAGTTAAGAAAGGAAAAACATTTGAAAAGAGGACTCTACTAATCAAGGTACTCTATTCAATTGAGCCCTGAATGATTAGTAGATTGCTGCTTTCTATCCGTGAGTATCTGCAGCTCATTTTGTGGATGTGGATACAAATGTTGTATCTAGAACCCTGCAAATTTGTGGATATCCGCATCCACAGATGTCAATGCAGATATCCACAGCTCATTTCTGCACATGCAAATTTTTTTATCTGTGCAGGGCTTTATTGATTAGACCTCAGGAAAACCTGTAGGATTGGGTGTTTATACTGCATGTAGGGTGATGGATAAAGGGTTTAATGTAAACTCTCAGTGAATGGCAGGAGAAAATAAACGTGAATTTTATGGAAAAGTGTGCCCAGTTGTAGTTGTAAATAAAAGCTTCATATTTTATTAAAACATCTTAAGACCAAAAATTGCACTGGAATGAGATCATGTGTTATGCAGGTGAAGTTTCATTGGGTAAAATTGCCTGTTTGAAGAAAACAAAGTTTTCATTTGAAATCCCAGCGGAAACAATTCTGAAATCTGAAACCACCAAATGCATAAATGATTTGATTGAATAACATACCCTACAATTAAAGTGCAGTCAGGATAGAAAAGGCAACCCTGGGAAAAGAGAAGCCAGTCTACTTTTGGGTCTGGTAACCAGAGCTGTGAGTGCATAGCAGCCTGAACTTTTTTATGAAGTGAAACTCAGCTGATCAGATCAGGGTCCTAAATACATTTCTGCTTTGCCAGAAAGGTGACTCAGATGGCAGGATAACAAATGGAACATAAATATTCACAGGAGAGAGAACATAGATGGGGCAGCATCTCAGTCCCCGCAGCCTGACTTGCAGCATTACTTCCAGGGGCGGTGGGTATAATAGTATAGGCTGGCTCTGAGCATCCACCCTCCCTGTGGTCTGGGGCCACGGAGGCTCTGGCCACACGCTGGGTGGAGGTGGTGGGGGACTGCAAAGAAGGAGCAGGGCTTGCCTCCTCCAGCCTTAGCTTCACCCATCTCCTCCCTCAGTCTTGTAAATTGACACAGGGACTGAGGCAGCCTCTTATGCTGTGTTTTGTGCTACACTTTGCCCCACTGCAAGTTTGAGATCTCTCATCATTAGAGATCTGATGTACGGACGGCTCCAACCAAGAGCATGGCCCCATGGTGCTAAGAGTTACCTCATGAAGAGAGTTACCTTTTAAATAAACCCTCTCAGCTGTACAGTGTAGACATATCCTATTTTGGGATACTGGAGGTAGCTACCCTGCGTCTTAACATGCCCGTTATTTCCAAAAAGGGGCAGCTTGTTATTTCGGCATCCCAGTAACCCTTGTTCCACAAGGGTTAAGGGATGTCTCAAAATAGCATGTTATTTTGAAATTTGGCACTGTGTAGACGCACCAAATTTCGAAATAAGATACGCTATCTGTGCTATGCAAATTGCGTATCATAGTTCAAGTTTAGGATACTGTGTAGACGCATCTTCAGTGACATCTGGTAGCTACGAGCTGGTAGGGCATAGCACTTGACCATATCTTTATTCCTTAAAAACGGGCCTCCCGACTGTGATGCTTGGAGTTGTTCCTGGCTGGGCACCAGATGACATTCTCCATACCAACTTGTGCACGGGAAAGGGGCCTTTGGTCCATAGGAGTGTCTCTCTCTCCAGTGTGTGGGTCACCTCAGAAGAAAGTGGGAGCACCTAGGATAATTTTTCTCATTAAATCAAAGGTGAAACTAAAGCTCCCGAACCACAGATACAGCTCAAAGACCCATCAGAGGAGCTGTCTGTCCTCACTTTCTCTCTCCTACCTTGCTGCAGTCAGTATTTGGGTAGCTAACCTACAAGTAAGCCAGAGAAGACTAGAAACATACATGAGGGATATGGACAGAGCCATTCTGTCCCTAGGACCATTCGGGGCAGCTGCTCCAGGCCCCGCAGAGCAGTGAGGTGCAGAGGGCTAGGAAGGTGGAGCAGACTGCAGAGCCTCTGGCTCCTGCCACCATGGTGGGAGGGGCAACAACCCCTGCTGCTGCTCTGCCCCTGGTACTTTCCCTCATCTGTCGTGTGGGGCTTGAGGGAAGGGATGGAGCAGAGGCAGGTTGGAGCCTGCCGGGGGGGGTTACCTCAGGTCTTCTGCCCCCTCTAAGGATAGCCCTGGATGCAGAGGAGGGGTTTGTTCAGGTCTGTATGCAGGGGGTGGGGATTGGTGCGAAGGGTGTGAACGTATTCCCTATCATCCCCCAAGTAAGTGTGAGGCTGGGGTGGCATGTTGCCTCACCCTCCCTCCCCATGCTCTGGCCGGCCAGGGGAAGGCTGGGGCTTCCCCCCCCCCCCGGATTGGGGGGGGGGGGGGGAAGGGCGGGGGCGGCCCAGCCCCACAGAAATTCCTGCGTATAACCTGTACTTACACAGTTTTAGTCAACTTATGTCATCTGAAAATGGGCTCTGCAGTGGAAATGCAAGTCTGCCTTGATATTTCCAGCACTCAAATAATGGAGTCCTGAAAGTCTTATTCAAGCAGTCACTCTGATGCACTTGTTTGCAGCAGACGCCCCAATCTCTTTCTTGGGCTCTTTCTAGACACACCAGAATGTGAGCCCTTGTCCCAAGCACACAATCTAAGAGGCAGGTAGACAGAAACTAGGGGAAGGTTTGTTTGTTTTCTGTACAAATCTGTCACCGTTACTATAGGCAGCACAGGAAAAGCGAGGTAAGAGGGACTGAAAAGTAGAGACTAGGGCCTTGCAGAGAACTTTGCAGAAATCACACCATGCCTAAGGGGACCAAGGAAAAGAAGACAGAGGCAGTTGGCCAAGATCTCAGGAGGGGACAGATGAGAAAGCAGAGTTTTACCCTATGATATAGAGTAGAATAGTGCACTTACAAATTATTTCATAGTTAACTTATGCAGGAACAGAGAGACTTCGTTGAATCTTCCCCATGCTATATTGGGAACTAAGCTCTTCACAGTATTTGTCTCAGTAGAAAATATTAAGCTCTCACAAGACAGAGTTCATCCTTATTGTGCCTATCAAAATAGGCACAAGTCCATATTCTGTCCCTGATGTTGGTGAGGGAAATTACAAGTAACTACAGATTTTTAAACTGCAGGTCTTAAACATGCTTATTAGAATACAAATAGTACAACGAAGAAGTAACAGTAGTTGCGAAGTCTGAAGAGTTGCTTTCCAAGAAAGGATGTCAGTCCATTAATAAGCCTGCTTTTGTTCTGTTTCCTTTGCTGGGAAAACTCACTTAAGGAACTGGACTGCATGGACGGTCTTACTGTATTGAGGGGGGAAAAAAGGTGTTTAAGAAACTAACAATATTTGCTATCTTCTTTAAAAAAAAATCCAAACCAGAAGACAATTAATTACCACCAATGTCAAATGGCAATTTAGAGTGTGTTTGAACAAGGAGCTGTCCCTATCATTGTGCTGCCTAAGATGTTTAAACACTAGTTGTGACATGGGAAATTTAAATGGTAACTTACTTACAATTTAAATTAATTGTCAAGGTAATTGAAATAATGGTGCTAGGCCTTTCTTTTGCTAAGGTCTATGCACTAGAAACTAAGTTTTACTGAAATGTATCTTGGGGGAGGTTGGATGAGAAATACCACTATGCAAATTTAAAGCATCAACCAACCCCAAACTTCCCAAAAGTACTTTACAGGTCATTAATCTGCCCCTCTCCCCCTCCAAAATACAGCTCCCTCAAATAGCTGCTACATTCTACACTGAATAGTGGACAATAGCACTATGGGTGGTCTTTGTAGGGGAAGGGAAGAATATTCTGCCACTGCACATGGAATTGGAAGATATAACACATTGCTAGATTTTTTTTTCTGAATGTTGAGTGACAGCAAAACATTCTCTTGAATGATTAGACTCCTCACTATCTCCTATTTAGACCCCTGCTGTTTTTCCAGTTTGAACTGGCAATCGAGTAAAACAAAACTATCTTCCTGTGAAATCTTGCATCTTTTTCAAGGCAGCCTCTGCCCACCAAAAGGTAGCGATTAGCTAACAAATGTACAGTACCTCTGCACAAGCTTATGAAGCAGCAGCTGGATCCATGCTGCTCCGGGAATCACACAGACTCTCTGTTTAGTCTTCAGGGTAAGGCTGAAACACAATAGGGTCATTTTAGCTTCTCTTAACAGCAACCCTTCCAGGATGATCCCCTACCTAGAAAAGCTGAGCTGGGGTGGGTGGAACCCGCATTTTCAGTAGTCAGTGTAGTGCACTGGGGCTGACCCCTCAGGGCATGTCTTCACTCGGAATTAACTTGGGTTCTCACATGGTTGTTGCTTCAACCCTCATGCCATCCACCTCAAAAGCTCTGGCCAAGGTTTGGTGGCATAACTGGGGCTGGGGGTTAAAACTCAGGTGTTATTCAGGCTGATAACATCTACCTTGCAACCAGGTGCAGGCCAAGCCACTGAAGACCGCCAGGGGCATATCCCATGGGTCTATGTGACACACTGGAGAGCAGACTACCAGTGAAGACATAGCCCAAGTACAGACAAAGTCGCACCAAAATTTACTATGTCTTCTCCGCAGAGTGAGTGGAGGTAAACATCACCCAAGTCAATCCCATCCCAAATTTTGCTGCTATTTTTGTTTTTCAGCCCCAGTCAGTTCCTTTTTTTCCCCCCTCAACAAGTTTTGCTGCTATTTTTTGGGGAGGAGGGTGTGAGGGTTTCTCAAAAATCAAAAAGGAGGTTTGAAAAATTTGGGAACCTCTAGTTTAGACCCTCTCTGATAGACACACAGTATGGCCGTTCTTGGGTTCTTACAAGCTCTGGAGGTCTCAAGTTCAGTATTTGCCATCTGGGCCAACAAGCCAGATGGCAGGGAAACAAAATCCAACGCATTTTAAAATGCACCTTTCCTTAGTTTAGATCAGGCCAGTGAGGACTCAGAGGTAATACATCACTTCACATCCTTGCTAGGGGTAATTCTAGCCTCTTTTGCCCTGGAGGTCTTGCATTTAGTAGAATTTGTTACAGTTCGTCTTTTATGAGATCTGGCAGGATTTCAAGAACTCAGGCTGGACAGGTACAAACAAGCCGTGCAGAGAAAACTGATCAGGCAAACTACCTGATGAATGAATGACAAAACTTTGCAGAAACTGAGGGTCATTGGTCTTTGGACTTCCCACTTACATAATCTCCTGCCGCCGACAATGAATCCCCTGAGAAATCACCTCAACAGCACTAATCCTTCCAGGACCGATGACGTCTGAGGTTTGCTTGAGGCATCTGCATCTCAGGCTGGGCTGAAGGCCCAGAGGTAGACCTGCAACAGGAAGCATTAAACAATTATCTGTATGTCTCTGTTAGCCAAGGCCCAAATCCATTCTAAACCACTCCAAAGACTGCATCAAAATTAACCCATCCTCAAAACAAACAAACACTAATGAAAGTTATAACTGAATTTACATCTCTGTCTTTACAAATGTGAGCCATAGCAGTGAGAGAGAAAGTCAGATGGGAATTAAGGATCGTTTGTTGCCTTCCATCAAACTCTCATTTGGGATACCAATAAAACATTTTTGTTCACATGCATGCTATCAGCACCGTTTATTATATCAGTAGTATCTATTTCATCATTTACTTATGCCCCAGTTGGTTGGTTTGTATTCATCCATTGTCTGCAGTTTTCAACTTAGTCCCTGCCCTGAAGAATTTATAATCCAGCTCTCTGCTGGTATGGTGCCTACCACATTGGTGCCCTTGCCTCTAGACAGTACAGATTAATTAATTATAAATTATAAATACATTTATTCTATGCCCATTATAGGGGGGTGGGGTGGATTGCCGTGTCACGTGGAACTCCGTGGACATCAGTAGGGTTCCACAGAGGCATAGTAGCCAACCCAATCAGTTTCAAGATCAGAATTGTTACCTGTTTAGTTCACATATAAACTAATAAATGCCCCAGTCCCATAAGTTACTCCTTGTGGGTACAGGTGTCTGCCTGCTGGGAGTAACTTACAGGACTGGGGACAAAGACTTGAAAAGAAGCACAGAAGGTTTCTTTCATGCCCATATCTCACGCCGTAATGTAACCACAGAAGTGAGATCTGTTTTGGAAGAAGGTTAAAACTGGAGCTAGACACTGAAACGTGGAGCCTAACAGCAAGTCTACGCAGCAGCGGCAGTGCTGCAGCTAGGTGGGTATTGCGCCGTAGCACAAAAGTTTCCTGCGTCGATAGAAGGAGGGGTTCCATCAAAGTAGGTAACCCACCTCGGTGAGTGGCAGTAGATAGGTCCAATGCAAACAGGAGTGTGAAAAACTCATGGCAACTTAACCGCCAATGGAGATGCAGCCGGGCAATGGACACCTGAGTGAGGTAGCCAGGTCAATCTAAGTTTTAAGTAGAGTCCAGACTTATTTAAATGGGAATTAGCCTTCTGAGTGCTTAAGCCACTTCTGGAAAAGGGATTCTTTAATATTTTACCCATTTTTCTGCTCATCCCCAAATAATCAGGCTCTAAATGTTTTTCTTCTGCTGCAGTGAATTGGATTCTTTATATAATAAGAATGTTTGCCTTTTGGTTCAGCCAGAAATCGTTGGTTTTGCTGTAATAGACTTTTCCATGTTTGAGTTAAATCTTGGTTAAACTTAACACAATGTAACAACCTTCCATGTAATATTACTTTAAATATTTTCTCAGTAATAAGGGCTTTTATTTCAGAAGCTAAATGAAGCAGGTGATTAGGAGATGAAAGTCAATGAACTTGTCCCTCAAGTGCTTAAGTTCCTTTAGAATATAGGAACGACTGAAAATTTAGCCAATGTTTTATACAGTCCAGTCCATTAGTTCTACCATTATGTGCAATGTTAGTGATTGATTTTACTTTTTAAGGTACCAAAGAAGAATTGTTAGTTATAATCCCTTTTGCAATATTTTTGTCACTTCACTGCTATGAGTGTAAAAGAAAATTGCAATAGGGATGTAAAATCCTGTTAAATTGGTTAACTGGTTAAGCGTGATGCTTAACTGCTTAACTGATTAAAGGGCGAATGGGTGAAGGGGCTGCTGTAGACAGGGGCTTCTCTGGACAACTGGAGCAGCCCTATCTCTGACAGGCCCCCTGCAGGGCTGGAGCAGCCCCCTGCCCATGGTAGGCAGAAACGGCTCCAGCTCCCACTGATTAACCTTTCACATACCTAAACTGCAAGAAAGGAGGAACAAGCAAGCACGTAAGGATTTAAAGTTTTACCCAGAGTCCTGCAAAGATACAGGCACATACTTAATTTACCATTCTGTTAGCAGGGCCACTGACTTCAATGAAGATTACTATTTGCAGTGCATAAAGAAAGGCACGTGTATGTTTTTACAGGATTAAGGACAATATTACTGAGGCCTTGATATTTTCTTTGACTAGGTACCCCTGCTTAGCATGCAGTACGTTAATTTTTCCAGTATCATTACAGGTCCAATCCTGCTCACACAGGACTTATGGTAAAACTCCAGTAGCCGGCATAAACAAAGAATTTGGGCTTAAACGTTCCAGGTAAGAAAACTCAAACACAGAGGGCCACAGTTTCTGCGGTGATGTGTCAGCCATAAAACCTGGATACTATACAATAAGATGTTAAAACTGACATCTTTTTCACCAGTAAAATGATTTGATTGGTTGCTGTCTTCTGGACTGCTGCAGTTAGTGACATTGAATAAGAAATGTATTCAAAATATTAATTAACAAAAATGGTTAAGACAAATTAGATTAGAAATAGAACTGTGGAATTTTAAAGAGGCTGGGTGGAACATCCTTCATCTTAGTTCACCCAGGTATGAGGGTAAAAAGGTGTGGCAGTACCTTTTTGGTAAACCAAAATGAACCAGTCATCTCCCCCTGCCTGGGGAGAATTACTATGACACATGAGAGATGAATATTAATTTACTCCCCTATGAGAAATCACAAGTCTTTTTTTCCAAGTTACAGCATATGTCAAAATATAGTTTCATCGTAACTACCATTTGAAACCGATTAAAAATTTCAGCATGGTCTCTCTCATTTACAGTGTCACATTAGTATTTTCAAAGATGCCTCATTTTGCATGTCACAAGGAGAAAAGCAAAATAAAGGGTACTTTCCATGGGTTTGGATTATAATGTACTATAAATAGTTTATGTGTAGACAGTGGCATTTACTGGCTCATCAATTCCATTGTAACACAATGGAATGTAAAAATGGCAACAAGTATCAGCTCCAGTCCTACATACCCCCATGCCACGGGCAGCTCCTTTTCAGTCCATAGGGCTCAGTTCAGATGGAGCTCTCTGGCTCTGGGCGCAGGTATGAGAATCTGCCTGCACAGTTCAGAATCGGGGCCTTGCTAGACGAGGGGTAGGAATAGTACCCAAGCCAAAAGGAGAGTCATCGCTTATGGGGCTTACTCACAGGCTCCTGGTGAAAATTACACCCTTTCAAAAGCAAATTACACCAGTGAGCAAAGTTCCAAAGGGAAGAGTTACTCACCAGTCAGCATGCCAAAGTCAGTTACAATCAGGGCGATCACCAGGATGACTGCCAGGCTCCTCATCTCTGCGTCTGTTAGACGAGGTCACTGGATGCAGCCTGAATGATTCTTCTTTTTATTTCCAGCCCATCCCCCCAAGGGGAACTTGCTGGAGATTAGCCTTCACAATGGGATTGTCTGTTAAGAGTCCTGTGCATATAAGGAACACACACACAAAACTCATGTAGTAAGTGTGTTGGCTGGATAGTCCTCATTCCTTCCTCTAAAGAACTAAATGTGGTGTGTGTGAGGGGTTATGGTACAACAGGACTATATGCCCATTTGCTATTGGGAATTAGGTGTAATTTTTATTGGGAGGTCTTCAGAAGAGAATTGGGACTCTGTCCACATGTGGAAAGGTGTTAAGTAGGCTCCAAAGTAGGTGAACCATAGAAGGCCCCCAACTGATGTCTGTGCAGCTAGGCCAGTGTTTCGCACATTTTTTTTTAAAGGGGTACTCTGAAAACTGTAGGTACTGGGAGTACTTAACCTTTTTTTATAGAGACACAATTTTTTTCTACAGTTGCAACACATTTGTTTAAACAACTTAATCGTAGCTGGGCGGGCAATGAAATTTTTGGGTGTAAAAAGTACAAAAATAATAAAGTGCTGTAAAACTTAACACAAATTCAGTTTTCTCCAAATTTCAGTTGTGTTGACATGGCCCCCAGACTTCTCTTCAGTATCCCTACAGGTACTTGTACCACTGGCTGAGAAACACTGAGCTAGGCTATGATCAAATATAAGGTAGATCCAGGCACTGGCAGCTTCACGCTATTTCCCTTTCTCTGGGCCATCTGCTGGCCTCCTGCAGCTGCAGAGAAGTCCTGTCCCAGGGAAGTTCAGTCTGGGTACTTCCACTGTGGTACTCCATCCAAGCTAAATGAGTGGGGTCGGGTCGGGGGCCCTTTGGCAAGTGGTTGGGGAAAAACTCACCAGGAGGTTACAGGGAAGAATGCGGAAGGAAGGCCTGAAGACTGCAAAACGGTGACAGCTGCAAGCAATGTCGCCCCTAGGGTTTATGGTGCTCTACACGCGAGTGGGAGGGGAACAGCAGCTTACATGGGCCTCTGGGCAAAGTGTGGGAGGGCTGTCTCTGTGCCCCTTCAAAGGATAGGGTTGCCAGGTGTCCGGTTTTGAACCAGACAGTGTGGTATTTGAGCTCTCTGTCCGGGAAACAAATTGAGAAAATACCAGACATTTATACGTCTGGTATTTTCTCAATTTAAGTTTTATTATTATCATACGTATCAGTACATACTTGCGTACTGC